GAAGAGGACCTGTGGAAGGAACAGCCAGGGAGGCGGCAGCGGAAGCAGGCTGGGGCCAGAGGCAGTGCCTACAGCCGGGGACCCCAGCACTCAGCTATTCCAGGGAGCAGGTAATGCCGCAGGCAGAGCTGGTTCATATCCTGCTCTTTGCCTGTCTCCTCTCTCCAGGACCTGTCCATTTATTTGCCTTCTTGCCTGGCCTTGAAGGGGAAAGGGGATTCCAGACTTATGGAATGGCAGGCACAGGGGCCCAGGAAGTGGCATGCCCTCTTCTTCAGAGAACTGTGTGTGGTCTGCTGGGCTGGGGTTGGGGTGGCTGTGTGAGGGACATGCTAGAACCTAGAAAGGCAGGTTAGGGCTAGATTACAAGGGATGGTTTGAGCCATGTCACTCACCTCTAGGCTTAGGCAATAGAGAGACATTGAAAGTTTTTCAACTGGTGAATAACATAATCAAATCTACATTTTATTTTCTTTTTTATCCTCTAAGATGCATCAAAACTGCATTTTAAAAGAGAAGTTACTGATTTCTGATCCCAGGGAGAATTGGTGTGGCCCCTCAGAATCAAGCAGTCACAGTTTTCTCTATTTGAAGAAAAAATAAGATTATTTTCTCAATTGTTGGTTTTTCTTCTATAAAATTTATTTAAATACTTGGTGACTGCTAGCAAGTGCCAGCAATCAGTAAGACAATGGAAAGGATGTAGGTTAAAAGCAATAGGCTGGGCCCAGTGTCTCATACCTTTAATCCTGGCAATTTAGGAGGCCAAGACCAGTGGATTTCTTGAGCTTAGGAGTTTGAGACCAGCCTGGGCAACATGGTAAAACCCCGACTTTACAGAAAATACAAAAATTAGCCAGGCATGGGGGCATGAGCTAGTATTCTCAGCTACTCCAGAGGCTGAAGTGGGAGGATCACTTGGACCCAGGTGGTGGAGTTTGCAGCAGGCTAGTAACATGCCACTGCACTTCAGCCTAAACAAAAGAGTGAGACTCTATCTAAAAAAAAAAAAAGTAATAAAAAAATTTAGAAATTAGAAATTCATGTAAATAAATGAATTCATTTAATCTGAGCTCTGTACAGATAAATTAATAATGTGTTCTGCTAGTAAAATGATTTCTAACTCGTGTACAATATTTTATGGTGCTATTCAAAGAGCACATGACTCCCAGGAGCCCATCACATGAACATGTTTGAAATGTTTTAAAAGCAAACTCTACTGCTGCATAAGAAATGGGGTTAATTGGGACAACCAAAGGCAATGGCATCAGTAGGTGGCTATTGCAGTGATAGAAGCAGGTGATGAGAGCCAGAACCAAGATGGGTGGGAAAAAAAGGAGCGAGCTAAAAAATGTTTAGGAGGCAAATGGAAGATATTAGTGTCCAGTTGGTCATAGATGGTGAGAAAGAAGGAGCTTCAGGAATGAGTTCAGCATTGTCTAGATGGGTAGGTAGCTAGAGGTGCTATTAATCAAAGGAGAGCAGGGCTGGGTTGGTAGAAGAAGGGATCCGGAGCTGTTTTGAATATGTTGAGGGTGACTTGAGAAGGCTGCTGAGCTCCCAGAAGGAGCAGTCCAGTTGTTGGTTGGGATGTTCAATACACATGGGTGTATTGCCTGGACACAAGGGTGACCTCATTTAAAGGATGACACCACAAAGAACATGAGCTAGTCCAGAAAGAGTGAGGAAAGAGAGGAGAGAACAAGATGAAGCAGGAATCATGGGGAAGATGAAGATTTAAGTGTTAGCGAGGCAAGAGGAATTAGGGAAGGATATTGAGAGAGAATCTTCAAAGAGGGAGAAAATATCAATAAGCTGCCATGTTATAAGAGCCACAAGTCACATTTCAGTTCAGAGGGAGCAACCATCAGCTCCGAAGTTCCAGAGAGATAAGCCAGACTATAGCTTTTCAGTACTTTTGATTTGATTGATTTTATTAGCTTATTAGTTTGACAATAAGATAACAAGAGGAATCTGAGGGCAGGAATTGTTAATTTGGGTGCATGGCAATAAATGAGATTAACAGGGCAGTAGTAAGAAGTATAGGGGACTGTGACAAACTAAAAAGCATGTTTACCTAAGAAGGCACCATCATCAACTCTCTTTGATTGTTGCCAAGCAGGAACATGGGCACAGTGATCAGAACATCTGAATTTTCAAGAAAAGTCAGAGATCTGGATTTTTATATGAAATCTTACAATTCTTTATCTTAGGAATATTTTCAAAAACTTTCATACTCTGCGAGGTCTGAATTGAACACATCTTTGGGCGTGGTGGCTCGTGCCTGTAATCCCAGCACTTTGGGAGACCAAGGCGGGCGGATCACAAGGTCAAGAGATCCAGACCATCCTGGACAACACGGTGAAACCCCATCTTTACTAAAAAATACAAAAATTAGCTGGGTATGGTGGTGTGCACCTGTAGTCCCAGCTACTCAGGAGACTGGCGCCTGGCAACAGAGCAAGACTCTGTCTCAAAGAAAAATAAAAACAAAAATAAAATAAACACATCTCTGAACTGCTGGTTTGAAATCACTGCCTTTGTCAATGTCCTTAGCCTGGTGGGGGCTGAGCCAGTGGCAGCAGGCCAGGAAGTGATTGGGCAACGAGGGAATGGAGACCATGAGATTACTACTTTAGGAAGGGTAGGTAAAAGAAAGGAGAAGGAAAGCAGGAGAACTAAGGAGGCAGACAGGGTCAGGGAGGGTGTCTTGGGTAGGAAGAGCTGTTTCTAGGCTGAGAAAGAAGGTGGAGAGAGGGAATCTGAAGATCCTAGTGAAGAAAGACTAGTTGATGAAATAAGGATCTGAAAGAGTCAAGGGTTGGAAGAAAGGATGTTGATGAATTTTGTGCCTGGAGGTCTTTACTTTCTTTTTTTTTTTGAGACAGAGTTTTGCTCTTGTTACCCAGGCTGGAGCGCAATGGCGCAATCTCGGCTCACCGCAACCTCCGCCTCCTGGGTTCAGACAATTCTCCTGTCTCAGCCTCCTGAGTAGCTGGGATTACAAGCACACGCCACCATGCCCAGCTAATTTTTTTTGTATTTTTAGTAGAGACGGGGTTTTACCATGTTGACCAGGACGGTCTCGAACTCTTGACCTCGTGATCCACCCAACTCGGCCTCCCAAAGTGCTGGGATTACAGGCTTGAGCCACTGCGCCCGGCCTGAGGTCTTTACTTTCTTGGTGAAGTGGGGTAGGGGATGAATCAAGAAGCTTGAAGAGAGGAGCAAAGGTTAGGGACAGCCTCGAGGGACACAGGAAGCGTGCTGACAAGGATGCATGGAAGGTTGTTACACTTGGGACCTGCTGAGGGGAAACCCTTACAGTGCAGCTCATGGGCCTGGGTGTGGGTGTTGGTGTGAGGGGTCAAGCACCTGTTACCTTCCAAGCCCTGTGTCAGGCATTTCATTCTCTTACCTGATATATTCCTCCCAGCAATCCTGCTCACTCAACTGAGTTCACTCATGAATAAGTGGCAGCCTTGAGAGTCATACCCTTTTCTAGCTGGATTGGAAGTCCATTTGATTCCACCACACCACCACTTGTGCTGCTGTCCCCACCCCAGAACCCCGAGGCCTCAGACGCAACTGCAGAGGAGATTGGGCCAGTGAATTCTTGTCTGGGCATTTCCTGGCTGGTTTGATTGGGAAGTCAAGGGGAAAGAATGGAGGCTGTGATGAAGAAAGGAGTGGAGATCCATGAAGCAATAAGTGAGGACAGACAGGAGTGATGAATTGAGGAAACAGGCTGGAGGAAGAAAAGACCTAATGAGGCCTAGGAGATAGTGAATGAGAGATTGCATCAGGGCAGGCAGTGGGGTTGGTGAGGAAGGACTGCATTCCTGAAAAATTTCAATATGAGGGGAAGGGAGGTGAGATAAGGATGACTCCAGGGTGTCTAGCCTGTGCAGTGGGGTGGGCAGGGACACCTTCAGTCACAGCATTAGTTACCACTTTGATGTCATGCCGTCTCTCTGTCCCTTGCTCACTGTGCTGGACCACACTCACCAGCATGTTTCCACCACAGGTTGTCTAGAACATGCAGAGTACTCTTCCTCCAGATCTGCAGAAGTGGCTCGTTCTCATATTCAAGTCACAGCTCTAGTGTCCCCTCCTCGGAGAGTCCTTTTGTGACCATGCTATCTACTGTAGCTCCCCTGGTCATTTTGTTTTTTATAGACAACTTATTGAAATGGTAATTTATGGATTTGTTGACTTGTTTATTATTTGTCTTTTGTCCCTAGAGCATATGCTCAAGAGAGCAAGGACACATAGGTCTTTTTCATAGCTTTATTTTCCAATACCTAGAATAATGCTTGGCACATAGTAGACATTCACTCAAGAGAGAAAGAGAAATAAATAAAGAAAAGGAAGGAAGAAAAGAAAAAGAGAAAGAACACAGGTGAGGTGTGTTTGGGAGAGGGATGCTGAGTTTTGAGGTGCCTGGAAGACACCCGGGAGGTGACTTCCAATGGGAAGTTGGAAAGCAGGCTGGGGGCTCAGGAAATGAACAGCCGCATTTCCCAGGAAGAAAGTGGGCCCACATGGTATAAGGGTGCAAGCTGTCCTTTTGCATGGCTGACTGCCTCTTCAAGACCAGTGTTGGGAGTTGGCTGGTTTGGGGCCCCGTGGGAAGAAGAAGCCCTCTGGTGGTAAGCTGAAGTTGGGTCAGAGTGCTCCTCACTTCTCTCTTCAGTTCTCTTCTTGGTTCTTGCTGCTGCCCTGGCTTTGACCATTTCGCATCATTCTTCATTACCAGCTGCAAGACCCTGGATCTGAATGCAGACTAAATCTTTTCATCTCTTTTATCTTAAAGAGTATCTCACCCACCTCTGGTTCATGGTGACAGGAGTCCAGCTTCACCCAGGAGCTGGACTTGGTTTTACTGAATTAGAAAATACTTTCCCCTTGTGCTTGGTTCCTACTCCATTTCTGTTGGCCTTGTGGCCCTCCTGCCTTGCACAGGACACTCAGCAGATCCTGCTGTCCTTCTTTTGCAGGGTCCCCAGCTGCTGAGCAGCTCCAGGACATCCTGGGGGAGGAAGATGAGGCTCCCAACCCCACCCTCTTCACAGAGATGGACACTCTGCAGCATGATGGAGACCAGATGGAGTGGAAGGAGTCAGCCAGGTGAGGCGGGGCCCCACAAGGGAGGCAGGCACTTCAGTCTTGCACAGCCTGGGCTGGCCTGACCCTCCTGGTGGGAAGCTGTACCTTGTATCTTGAGAGCTTCCTGGTCCACAAAGACCCTCCCACCTGCCTGCCTTAGTGTCCAGAATTAAGGAGCAAACAGAACCTTATGACTTTGTCTTTATCCTAAAAAAAAATTAAAGTTCAAGTGGGAAGATAGAATAGTCACCCATGAAACTCTGAGAGTAATACAAGGGCATATACCGTAGTCCCTCTGTATCCACAGACATTGGTTCCAGGAGTCCCTGTTAATGGCAAAGTCTATATATATTCAGGTCTCCCAGTAGGCCCTGTGCAACTGTCTATGTGAAAACTTGGCCCATATATGCAGGTTTTGCATCCCATAAATACTGTATTTTTTACCCCATTTGTTGAAAAATATCTGTGTATAAGTAGACCCATGCAGTTCAAAACCCATGTTGTTCAGGGGTCAGCTGCATTTTTGTTGTTGTTACTGTTGCTGTTTTGCCAGAAACAGGGTCTCATTCTGTTGCCCAGTCTTCAGTGCAGTAGGGTAATCATAGCTCACTGCACATAGGCTCGAACTCCTGGGCTCAAGCAATCCTCCCACTTCAACCTCCCAAGTAGCTTGGACTTCAGGCAAGCTACTTGGATAGGAAACTGAGGTGAAGGGGAGTAACTTTGCCCAGGTCTGTCTCTGCATGGGGGCCACCATGACACCCTGAGCCTGACAGCTGCCCCAACATACCACTGTATCCAACTAATTATTTTTATTTTTTGTAGCGATGAAGTCTCACTTTGTTACACCAAGATGTTCTTTAATATGAAGTGGTTCAAGCTAAATGCTGTAGAAGGGAAGTACCAAGCAGTCTGAGGTAGATAGTGAGGGCTTTCTGGAGGAAGGAGAAGGTGTGCCAGACACATTGAGTCTGAACAGTGGGAAAAATCCAGATAGTGAGGGCTAGTGGGCCACCAAAGGAAAGGGATCTGGCAGAGTTTGGGGCTGCAGAATTGGAGTCATGGAGGAAAGCATGGAGAGCAGAGAGTGCTCCATATATAGGGAGAGCAGAAGCTGGAGGGGAACCGCCCAGAGAAGTCACAGGAGCCAAGGGAGGGGCAGGGTAAGAGTGGTTGGCACTGCTCATATCCCTAATGCCTTGGACAGAGGGGCCTTGGGACTGAATTGAATTGTTCAGCAGTGCCCAGTGCTCTCAAGAGCCCAAGGGGAAGGAAGGCTGTGGTAAGCGGCAGCAGGAGGGACCTTCAGACAGGAAGACAGACTGTGCCAGTGTTTCTCCACCTTCTTTACATGATGCTACTCTGCCCCCAGGAGAAAAAATTTAATCTTATTTAAATCAATTTTATTAAATTAAAATTTAATTTCTTTCATTAGAAATAAGGAATAAGGGCCAGGCACAGTGGCTCATACCTGTAATCCCAACCCTTTGAGAGGCCAAGGCAGGCAGATTGCTTGAGCCCAGGGGTTCAAGACCAGCCTGGGAAACATAGGAGAACTTCGTCTCTACAAAAAAATTTTTCTAAAAATTAGCTAGGTGTGGTGGTGCATACCTGTAGTCTCAGCTACTTGAAAAGCTGAGGAGGGAGGATCACCTGAGCCAGGGAAAGTTGAGGCTGCAGTGAACCATAATTGTGCTGTTGCACTCCAACCTGGAAAACAGAGTGCGACTCTGTCTCAAAAAATAAAGGAATAAGATTTGTCAGGTCTGGTGTAGCTGTAAAGTACCACAAACCATTGTAATATCTAAAATATTTTCACTCCCCTAAGAACCAGTTATGCCCAAATTGAGAGTGCATGGATTCAGCTTTCCCCAGGTCTGTCTCCGCATGGGGGCCACCATGACACCCTGAGCCTGACAGCTGCCCCAGCCATGGCCTAGGCTCTTCCCTCACTCACCTCCTCTAACTAGCCTGGGTAGTCGCTGTGCAGAGCTAAAAGGCTCAGGTTTGGACACCCCCAGGTTTTTCCCACTCCATGTACCCTGCAGGGGTATCTGGAAGAAAGGCCACTGGGTGAACTAGGAAATAAATACCTGTAGGCCTCAGAGAGGACCAAATTCCCAGCCCTACAGCTGAGCTAGGTCCCTGTGTGGAAGTCATTGAATCTTTTCCTATGAGCCCATTCTTTGAATGCTTACTGTGCTGATCGATCCACAGGCTTGCCCCCTGCAAGTTGCACAGTGACCCTGAGTGGGCAGAACATTCATTATCCCTGTTTTATAGAGAGGAAACTGAGGTGAAGGGGAGCAAGTAGCTTGCCAGGGGTCAGAGCATGTGGGTGGCTGAATCTGGATTCCAGTCCAGGCCTGTCTGACTCCCCACTTGTGGGCTAATGGACTTTGTCTTCCCTTCCTCATTTTCTCAGCCCTTTCTCTTTCTGTCTCTAACTTCCAGTGACTATTTTGACTTCTAGGGGAGGACATAGGTCTGGAAGCAATTCTGTTAGGGTCAGAGATACATGGGGTTAGCTGCAGAGCCCAGGATGCCTATCCAAGATTGACGGGGAAGGAGGACATTTCAAATGACCAGGACCTACCATGGGTTGTTATGTCTTAACACCTCTGAGGGGCCAGGGCCTGAAGCCACTGCCTACCCTGAACGAGGGCCTCGCCTGCCCAGGGTGGGCAAATAGCCAGGAGGAAAGCTGTGCAGGGCCTTCTCAGAGGCCCAGGAGGGAGAGGGTGCCTTCTCCACACCCTGGGCAGAGTCTATATCCAGAACTCCTAGCCATGGTTGCTAGGACCAGACCCTCCATGAGGGCCTATCACACACACCTGTGGAGCCCTTGCCAAGAAAGCTTTATGGCCTCCAGAGACCTGACTGTCACCAACAGCAAACCACATTGTCTCTATCTCTATTCTCTTAGCATGTGGATCCACAAAGCCCTCTGCACTACAGACCCTGTGATGGAACTGAGAAACTGTTGATGAGGATGTTTCTAGAAGGAGGCTTCTCCTAAAATATAAATGAGGAACTGGCACAAGTTCCCTGTGGCTGGACTACAGACTGAGAGGCTGGGAATGGCAGGGCCGATGATGATGCAGGTTCTATGCCAGCCATATTGTAGTATTTGGCGGTAGGGTCTAGCAGTTACCGTCTGCAAAGTGGTGGGTTTCCCTGCAAAGCAGACTTTCTGAAGATGGCATCTGAGGAGGTCCTGGAAGAAAGGCCATCAGGACCTCAGGATAACATGGCTGCAACCAGCAGTGAAAAGAAAGCGATGACTAGAAGTTAAAGTGGCTGAACCCAATTCTAGACAGATCCCAGAGAGGAGTAGCTTGAAGGCCAGTTTGGGGACAGGAAAACGTGGGAGGAGAGGAGCTTTCCTGATTTCTGCTCTACCCTCTTCTACTCTCTATAGCTCACCCCATCTGATTTCCAGATAACTGTCCAAGGTATGACCAGCAAGCCCCTAGTGAAGTCAGAAGAGGGGTCTCTGGCATTCCCATGAGGGAAATGCAGCTGGCTGTTTGCTGATAAGAAGCCCACCATGGCCTGGACAGTTTTGCTGGGTCCTTCTCCAGGCAAACTGCAAGTTTAGAGGTGCTTGTGTCAGAGCCATTTGAGGCCTGTCACTCCCACAAAAAACCCAGAAACCAGTTTCCTCAGTTGACAGGCTAGTGGATCCACTCAGGGAAGCCAGAGATCTCAGACATTTCGAGGAATCTAAGAATCAGCAAATCATAAAAGGTTCTGGGCCTCTTGGAGTAACAGGAGAAAATGATGGGAAGTAGGAGACAGCCCCTCACACACACACTCAACCTCCAAGAGTGTTACGGGTCCCGCAATACCCATGTCAAAGAGGAGGGGACCCTTTAATAAAAGTATTTAATTTGCTGCAGGGAGTGTTTACTTTATTGAATTAGGAGATTAACAGAGTGAAAATCTCAAATCCGCAAGGAATTTTCCCTGGCGGTGCTTTGTCAGGAGTTATTAGTTTGGGGGATGTTTCAGGCCCTTGGAGGAGTCACTCCTGGAGGGATTTAAATGGCTTTTTGAGCTCTGCTGAGCCTTGTGCCATGCACATAATGGGGACTGTGTGTGCAGCGTCATTTCTAATGTGATCAATGCTGGTAGGTCAGGCTGTTAATAAGATAGATTTTTATTAACTCTGTCTCTGGCATTCCCATGAGGGAAATGCAGCTGGCTGTTTGCTGATAATGACCTTGCCTGAAGGGAGGGCTGGATCAGGTTGAGTGGGGGCGACCATCTGACTGTGAGCAAACTACCCAGAATTCCATCCTCTCTTATGCCCACCTCTGCCTGACTGCAAGTGGAGAGGTGGGAAGGAGAATGACCTGGGTTGGAACCTACCCAAGTATGGAGAGCTCCTTGGGGTTACTCAGAAATAACCAGAGCTTAGTGCCTCCCAAGAACTGTGAAAGCAAATTCCATATCCAAGCTGCTTCGGGTCTCAGAGCACAAACACAAACTTGCCAGAAGATTCTTAAGAGACACATGCTTTGAGAACATTCTTGCAATGACCAGGAAGGGGCAGGAAGCAGGGCAGGAGAAGTGGGTCAGTTTGTTGGGTCAAACCAGATCAGTACATTTTTGAAAGCCCAGAATAGTTCTATGCACATAGGCAGAGATGCTTTCTCACTCCATACAGGATGGAGAAAGCTGAACTTTCTGTGTCAACCCTGAAATCGCCCTCATTAAGATCCTGTAAAGACCAGGTGCAGTGGCTCATGCTTGTAATCAGCACTTTGGGAGGCCAAGGTGGATGGATCATCGGAGGTCAGGAGTTCAAGACAAGCCTGGCCAATATGGTGAAACCCTGTCTGTATTAAAAATACAAAAAAATTAGCTGGGCATGGTGGCAGGTGCATGTAATCCCAGCTACTCAGGAGGCTGAGGCAGGAGAATTGCTTGAATCTGGGAGGCAGATGTTGGAGTGAGCTGAGATAGTGCCATTGCACTCCAGCCTGAGCAACAAGAGTGAAACTCTGTCTTTAAAA